TGATATAACATGGGATGGAGATGAAGCAGCTCTGTGGGAAAGCACCCCCAGGTTCAGTCCCCAGCACAAAGAAAAAAAAAGTGCCGGTTTCTTGCCTGATTTCACACAGTGATAGTTTAAGTGTGTAGTCCTTGTTAGACATCCTCATATCCTGCCTCACAATTAATGCAATTTATCCGTTTATTTTTCTTAATTTTGGCTAAGGACTATAGCAATCATTTGAAAAGGAAAGACAGCCTGAGTCAGAAGTTTAGCAACAGACTAGCAGGAAGTGTCCTTAGAAGTTTAAAAACAAAATATGGGCCCGAAGCATGAAACTGACGGGAAAATGGCACCTTTTCTACCAAAAAGGCAGTTCAATGTCTCCAAAGCAGGGGTAAACTTTTTCTACAGACTTTATAGCCCAGAGGGTTAAAAAATTGTTGGCTCTGTGGCACAAGGACAGTCATAGTTCATTGATCACCTTTATCCCCTCCTTTTATAGCCAGGTTCCCTTAGGGTAAGGAAGGCCTGCCTGAGGAAAGGTTGTATAACAGTTGTGTTTTTTTTTTAAATATTTTTTTTTTAGGTGTAAAATTTTTTTTTTAAGAGCACACACTGTGGTGCCAGACTTCACCATTCACTGCTGTATAATTTTGGGCAAATTACTCAAGCTGTGTCTGTTTTCCTCAACTGCAAAATGAGTATAAAATACTTAATTCAAAGATTGTTGTGAAGTTTGTGTTTAAAGTTTGTGTGGCTGAATAGCTGATACACAGTAATTAGAATAGTCACTAGACTTTATGGTTACAATGGGAACAGAGGGCCAAAACCCAACACTCCCTGCAGCACATGCCACCTACCACTGGTTAATTAGAGGAGCAGCTGAAGCTACTATCTTGTAGATAATAAAAAAGGTGAGTTCACTATTCACCAAAAACCCAGACTGAGCGAAACTATTAAGGACCAATACTGAGAAGTGAAGCTTCATGAACTTGAATATTAGCAGTCACCCTAGGATTCTGCTCACAAAATGTAAAGTCACAAGGGTGTAGTCCATAATAAGTTTATTGTGTCTTCCAGACACTACCATACAGACTCCTCTCTCAGAAAACAGTCTTTCACAGATGGAAAACCATTATCCAGATGAGTTGTTCACTTGTCATTTTCATAGGCAGCTGGATTCTTCCTCTTCGATTTCTCAAACTCCTGGTTCCCCCAGGTGTAGACAAGATAAAACACTACAAATGCTTTAAAAACCAAAAGGGAGAATAAACAGTGAGCACATAAAACAAAGGTCTCCACCCTCTAATTCTGACTTCCAGCAGTTTCCACCCTCCTGGTGCTAACTTCTAAGATTTTTGTTGCGGGGAGGGGGTGGGGATATTGGGGATTGAACCCAAGGGTGCTGTACCACTAAGCTATATCTCCAGCTCTTTTCATTTTTAAGACTTTTAAATTGGAGGATCAAGAAAGGTTCCTTAACACATCCATTTTACAGGAAACCAAAAGAAGGTGGACCATCCAGGAAGATTTCACACCAAATTCCCCCCCCCCCCCCCGCCAAGTCTCCCCTGTTGCACATTAAACTAAAAAATTTAGGGATAATTTGAGATAAAATTCACCTAACAAGCGTCACCATTTTAAGGTATACGCTTCAGTGTTCAAAATGTCATGCAACTGTCAGAACTATCTGTCGCACATTCAACAGGAGACATTTCGTCACTGACACGTGGATACAGATGACCTCAGGGGAAGACGTTGGAGTCACCCAAGCGACCTTTGGCCGGTTTTTCAGGATGACAAGTCTAGCTAAGGGCTGCTAGGAATATTCAGTGAGAAAGGTGTGCACGATAGAGTGCCCGCTCACGGAAGGCACCGCAGTCCGGCCCCCAGCCGCCCGGCCTGGGCACTCACGCGGCACCACGCGAAGGATGGACGCCTGAGTGCGGCGCAGGACATTGGGGATGCCCTTGGTGAAATAGTGCGGGAAGGCGCGCTGCTCGAAGGGCGACAAGCTGTAGGTGATCACATGCCGCATCCGCGCCAGATTCCCAAACTCGCGGCCCATTGTTGCGGCGGCTCTGTAAGGACCGAGGGCGGACAGGACCTTGACTCAGCCTGGGGACCACCAACAGGCTGGGATCACCGACCCCAAGCCCGCCCCGGAACTCCTTAGCCTCCCCGAGCCCAGGCGGCGCCCCCACGCTCCCACAGCTCACTCCCGCAGCCAGGTCACCTCACCCTCCACGGACACTGACCCAAGGATCTCCTAGCGTCACTTCCGGCAGGATCAGAAGCCGCTCCTGGAGGCCGTGAAGTCACTTCCGGGAGATACCACTTTTCCTATATTTCCGGGGGAAGACGCTGTTGCCCCGGATTCTAAAGAGACGTGGCCTGCCCGGGTGACCCGGGGGTGGGAGGTGCTGGGGTGGGGGTGCTGCTGCCTAGGCCCGGAGGTGGGGCTTAGTGGTGAACGTCTGGGTTCCTGCGAGATTTGGGGGACCAGGTGTCCCCCGGGAGGCGCTCACAGTAGTCCTGGGCCTTTCCACGGAGCTTCAGGCTCCGGGAGCGGCCGGGTGACATAGAGATAGGGGAGAAAAAAGGCGCCAGGGCTGGGATGTAGCTCGGTGTAGAGCACTTGCCTAATATGCGTGAGGCCTTGGGTGACATCGCCAGCACCACAAAATAATAGTAATGACAACAACGATAATAATTTTGAATTTTGGGGTCGGGGTGGCAGCTGACCTGGAGGGTCACGGTGGTCCAGAGCTTTGCGCCCGTGAGTCCCCCAGGCAGTGGAGAACGCCCCTGAGGCGCAGCCACCCGGCGGCAGCCTAATGCGAGATTTTATGGGGTTTTGTCCAGTAGCTAAAAAGGGGCTCTATTTTCAGACCATCAGCTACGCCAGTATCAGCTTTATCAATCGAGGCGCTGCACAGACTGGTGATTTACCTTGTACTCTAAGTGTGGGTTAATTTTCCTCAAGCAGATAGCCTCCTTGAGGGTGGTGCTGGGTTGCCCCTTGTGTCAGCTTTTCACGATGCACATTTACCTCGTTTTTCTAAAAAGTGAAAGGAAAGTGACCGCGACACTTGTAGCGACCAAAAGATCTTTATTGTGGCAGTGACAGGGTAGAAAGAGAAAGAGCAGGGAAAGAGAGAAGAGAGGAAAAGAGCAAAGTGGGGGGGGGGGGGGGGAGGGGGGAAAGCAAAGCGCAACAGAGAGAAAGAGAAGAAAGAGGAAGAGAGCGAAAGCGAGAGAAGAAAGAGAGAGCAAGAGAGGGGGGCCCATCAGGAGAGAGTTTTTATAGCCAAAATATAATGGGGGTCTCTGGGTCTGCAAGCTGCCTTGTTGGCGTACAGTGATTGGATCATACAGTAGTTGCTAAGTGTGTCATCTTCTGCCTTCAGTCAGACGGGGCAGGGGTCAGACGTGGGTTTTCGTTGCACCAGACCGGTGGGGGTCGAATGTTCAGCCTTGAGTGGGGTTGAGTGTTCAGACTTGAGGCAAACAAACGAAAAGGAACCAAACAGGTAAGGGTCCAGTGTTCAGCCCACCTGCAGCCAACAGTTGTTCAGACTGCTCTGCAACTAACAAAAAGTAATATCTAATTTGGTCTCTGCTCCAAGGCAGGAGCATGAATACATAGAACAGTTAAGGATGAAAATACTGTACTGAATTCTACCACCATTTGGGTGATTAATAAAAAATAAAGCATTCATTTATTTACTAACCCCTGCAAACACTTCAAAAGCTTTCAACCAAAATCTTTTTCAGATGAATGTGCTAATCAAAGTAAGGACATCAAGATGTTATATATTAGTTAAGGTTAAGAAGCTGGACATAGTGGCACACTCCTGATGACTCAGGAGGCTCAGACAGGAGGATTGCAAGTTCAAGGACAGCCTCAGCAATTTAGTGAGACTCTGTCTCAATAATTAAAAATAAATAAATGAAGTACTGGGGATGTAGCTCAATGGAAGAGTGTTCCTGGGTTCAATCTCCAATACCAAAAAAAAAAAAAAAAAAAAAAAAAAACAGTTAAAGGCTGTGTCCTCTTTTAAAACACATCACAAGCATACTGCAACTTACCAAGTACAAGTCCTATACTAAGCCACTAAGAAGGACTGAGCAACCTAACATTTCCCTGCTCTTTGGAATTTCTATGTCAATTGTGATTTTTCTCTCACTCTCCATTCAACACTCAGTAAAATAATTACTTATTTTAAGCACCTGAAAGTGGGAGAACTGTCGAGGATGAGTTGAAAGGAAGAGTAAACCCAATATCACAAATTGCATACCAAAAGAGCTGAGTATCATCACAAATGATTAGCTTTTCTACATGCCTTGGGAGTTTTGACAGACACCCAAGAACATTTTAAGAATCCTAATTTCTTGCTGTCGCACACCTGTAATCCCAGTAGCTTGGGAGGCTGAGGCAGGAAGATTGTGAGTTCAAAGCCAGCTTCAGTAAAAGGGAGGCACTAAGCAACTCAGTGAGACCCTGTCTCTAAATAAATTACCAAAAAAAAAAAAAAAAAACCCCAAAAAACAGTTGAGGATGTGGGGCTCAGTGGCTGAGTGCCCCGGGGTTCAATCCCTGGTAACCCCCACCTCAAAAAAGAATCCTAATTTCTCTCTTTTTTTTTTAATAAAAGGAGAGATTTTATTTTAAGATAATTCTTCAATTTCTCTTAGACTGTCAGCTCCATCGCTAGTTCATTAGCGTAACAATAACTCAGCAGATTTTAAGTAAATTCCAGGGACAAAGGGAAAGTTACATAATCAAGTCAATCTGACCTAATGAGGACAAATTGGATAATTAGGATATTATCAGCTGATTGCTATAGACCTGATAAAAATTATCTTCAGCTAGGGATCCTTGAGGCCTGATTGGAGAAGGGATGCTAGTCAACCCACACACCTAAAATTTATTTAAGAGACCAAGCTAGGGGTTCCTGGCCTTTAGGAAGAAGACAGGCATGGGGAAATGTTTTCCTTGTTAGTTCTCCCAAGCCATGGCACTTCCCAGCAAATTTCTCATTTGGTTTTGCTGTTTTGCCTGGCTGTGTTTTCATGTTAGTCTTGGTTCTCAGACTTCTAGGGGAGAAGCTCAGATTGCAACTAATGCTGAGTTGGAATCTGAGGCAGAACCTTGGTCTGTGCTGCAACCTATAGATGGGACACCCAGCCCTGGCCACCTTTTCAAGTTTCTGTCTGATGGGCGAGGTGGAGCCCCTAGGCTGCAGCCAGACTCCAGAGCTTTGCACTACATGAAGAAGCTCTATAAGATGTATGCTACGAAGGAGGGGATTCCCAAATCCACTAGAAGTCACCTATACAACACCATTCGGCTCTTCACTCCCAGTTCCCTGCACAAACAGGCTCTTGGACATCAGGTGACAGGTGTGTAAAAGCAAATTTCTTAACTGGGTGGAGGGACGATGTTATAAGCTTAGATGCATCTGTATGTCCATGACAGACAAACCTGAGCAGTATGTGTGTCTAGAAGACGGGGGATTGAACCCAGAGCCTTGCACATGCTGGGCAAGTACTTGACCACTGAGCTACACCCCAGCCCTTTTGTATTTTTCATTTTTGAGATAGGGTCTCATTAAGTTGCCTACGCTGGCCTCAAACTTATGATTCTCCTGCCTCAGCTTCCAGAGTAGCTGAAATTACAGGCCTGCCCCACTGTGCCCTGCTGGGTTTTGCTTCTTGAATTGGGTTTTATTTTGTAGGATACTCAATATCCAATTGAAACAAATTTGATACTTGATCACATTCTTTTTTTTGTAGGGAGTCCCCGGGGGATTGAACTCAGGGGCACTTGACTACTGAGCCACATCCCCAGCCCTATTTTGTATTTTACTTAGAGACAGGGTCTCACTGAGTTGCTTAGTGCCTCCTTTTTACTGAGGCTGGCTTTGAACTGGCAATCCTCCTGCCTCAGCCTCCCAAGCTGCTGGGATTATAGGCACGCACCACAGCGCCTGGCTCATGTTTTCTTTCTAATGCTGTCATTGGTTAAAGTGGACTCAGATGATAGGATTTTAGCACTGAAAGAGACCTAATGGCTTTGAAGGCTGAGGAAAGTGCTGGAGAAGCTTAGCATCTGTTTCTGTTCACCAAGCTGTTGGAAATGTCCTATATCTGATATGCCCAGTATGTTCTGTGTCAAACAGGATAGTCTCTTGTTTGTTGCTTTCTGTGAGGTCCCCATCTGGTACAGTAGGTCCTTAAGAACAAAGTGTCAGGGCTGGGGATGTAGCTAAGTGGTAGGGTGCTTGTTTAGATGTGTGAGGCCCTGAGTTTCATTCCTACCATTGCAAAAACGAAACACCAAAGTGTAAGTCAACAATTGGAGCAGTTCGTTGTCTTAGGTGTGAGAGGAGCAGTGCTTTAGAAAAAGTACTTTCTCTAGCTCATGATGTAAAGAAAACCATTCTAAACAACCAGGGCTTGTGGCCATTTAAATGCCTTTCATTTTACTCTAGAGGCATCAGAGCCTCCTTTTTTTTTTTTTTTTTCTCAAGTGTGCTAAATTAAATGGGCAGTCAAGTGGTTTTAATTGATTTAATTCACTGGGCTTAGATTATTGTTTTAACAAGGCTGAGTGTTTTAAATTACTATGATGGTTTTTCCCTATAGAGTGTCTCCAAAAGAAAAATTCTACTTATTAGCTTCCTGTGTTTGCTAATATTGGAACTTCAGAATGTAATAATTCCCTGTTGCTTTAATTTACCATCAAAGTTGTTCTGACATTCTGGAGATAAAATATCCATTGATGGTTCCTGGGAAATAGGGTACCAATTACCTTTTCTATACATCTATTTTTAGTCCCTCCCCTCATTGTCTTTGAGGCTTGAGGAAATGCAGGGAAAGAGAAGGGAGATTGCATATTGCTAGTACAATTCCTAGATTTGACTTCCAGTTACATCTGATTTGTATGCAAGCACCACTAACTGGTGAATCATTTTTTCCTTTCAGGAATCTTTCCATCAGTGGACCTGCTGTTTAATCTGGATCGTGTTACTGCCGTCGAACACTTACTCAAATCCGTCTTGCTCTACACTTACAATAATTCAGTTTCTCCTTCCTCTATTGTTAAATGTTGGTGCAACCTGGTGATAAAAGAACCAAAGTCTTCTAACAAGACTCTCCCTAGAGCTCCTTACTCATTGATCTTTAATTCACAGTTCAAATTTAGAAAGAATCACAAGCAGATTGAGATTGATGTAACCCCACTCCTCCAGCCTATAGTGGTTTCCAGTGAGAGAAATATTCACATGTCTGTCAATTTTACATGCATGAAAGACCAGCTGCAGCACCCTTCAGCTCAGGATGGATCCTTTACCATGCCTCTTCTGCCCCCCTCACTGATCTTATATCTGAATGACACAAGTGCTCAGGCTTATCACAGGTGGTATTCCCTTCACCATAAAAGGAAGTCTTCACAGGGTCCTGACCAGAAGAGTAATGTGGCTGCCTATCCCATGGGAAAAGAGACTGTCAAGGGTGGGAGACCCACCTGCCACCGGAGAGGTCGGGAAATCATCACCTCTCAATTGAAGAAGCCACTGGTTCCAGCTTCCTTCAACCTGAGTGAATACTTCAAACAGTTTTATTTCCCCCAAAATGAGTGTGAGCTCCATGACTTTAGAATTAGCTTTAATCAGCTCAAGTGGGACAACTGGATTGTGGCCCCTCACAGATACAACCTTCGGTACTGTAAAGGAGAATGTCCAAGGGCAGTTGGGCATAGGTATGGCTCTCCGGTTCACACCACAGTGCAGAACATCATCTATGAGAAGCTCGACTCCTCAGTGCCAAGACCATCATGTGTACCTGCCAAATACAGCCCCTTGAGTGTTTTGACCATTGAGCCTGATGGCTCAATCGCTTACAAAGAGTATGAAGATATGATAGCTACCAAGTGCACCTGTCGTTAACTTAAGGTCCTCTAAATGAAAACCTTGAGCCTATTTAGCAAAGTAAGTGTTGTGTGCCTCTCTGCTCTCAGGAGAAGGCTTATGTGTCACATAACACATTGTAGAAATAGGAGCATATGCATGTTAGCACATTCTGGGGCGTCTGTCTGAAGGGATAAGGTCAGTTGTTCCTACTTAGCCTTAATTTCAACACTTAAATGTAATTACTTTGGAGAGATTTATTTTTTTTTTCCCCTGAGCATTTTTTTTTCTTTTCACAAGTGTTTTGGTTTTGATGGAAAAATTCTAACTTAGCATAAATCTAATGGAATTGCCGCCACAGATATTCAGAGAGCTTTAGTATTATGATAATGGAAGAATAAATTCCTGTCAATGGCATAAATTGTGTGTGTTTTATTAAATAAATTATGATTGGGAGAGAAGCATGTCAAAAAGCTGACATTGGCTCAACTTTTGCTTCCCCCCCCCCCCCCCCCGAGTGAAAGGGAGGTTAACCTCTCTGCCTGAATCCTGGTAAAGTGAAATTCGCTAGGATTAGAGTATGCAGCAGAACTCTTTCTGTTGTCTTAGTGTGATTGGTGTACAATACGCTAATTCTGCTTATTAACTGGTGTATATAAATTGAGTCAAGTAAAACCATATAACATTTGTCCCATTTGTTGAAGGGAAATTGTATTGCAGATTGTTCCAAGAAAACCTGTGTTCAAGATTTTAAAATGTATTTTCTTTCTCTAAAACTTCTGACCTTATGGAAGAAAGCCAAGAAGGTTGGTTGATGTTTGTTTTTTATTTGCTTTTTGCCTGTTTCCCTCAGTCCACCCCACATACTCTTTTTCCAGGTGTATTAGCAGTGTTCCCACTAAACTAAGCTGGTAGTGACTGTCTTATTACTGAGCAGGCCTTATGTGGATCTAATGGCTTTTGTGTTGGTTTTCTTTTTCTTTTTTTTTTTTATATTTTAGGGATTGAACCCAGGGAAACTCAACCACTGAAACATTTATCTAGAGATAGGGCCTTGCTAAATTGCTGAGGCTGGCTTTGAAATTGTGAACCTCCTGCCTCAGCCTCCCAAGCTGCTGGGATGAAAGGCATGCACCCCTTCTCCTGGCTTTTGTGTGGGTTTTCACTGTCTCTTATCTTAAGAGAGCAAAGATACAGAGTTAGGGCTAATGTAGTGACATTGTGTTTCAGAGTTTCTAAAACCCTAATCTACAAATCAAAAGTAACTTTTACATGCAAAAGTTACTTTTCACTCTTGTAAAATGATCTTTTCTTGGTGCTTGTTTTTAGTTTGATTAGATAAGATTCCCACACCATATGATTTGCCCATTTAAAATGTACAATTCAGTGGTATGTAGTACATTCACACACAGGATGCCATCACCATTGTTAATTTAAGTAAATTTTTATCACCTCAAAAAGAAACTATTCCTTAGCTGTCCACCCTGGTTTCCTGTCCTGTCCTACCCCCAGCCCTAAGCAATCCTAAACTGTCTCAATAGATTACATTACTCTGTACTTTCACATGCATGGTATGAATTGCAATATGTGGTCTTCTGTGACTGGCTTCTTTCACTTAGCATGTCTTCAAGGGTCACTTATATTGCAACATGTATCAGTACTTGTTTTCTAATGACAGAATATTTGACTATACCAAGTTTTGTTTATCCATTTATTGATACTTGAGTTTTCATTTTCTGGCTATTATACATAATGATACAAGTTTGTGTTTAATTTCTCTTGGGCATATACCCAGGAGTGGAATTTCTGGGTCATATAGTAACTCTTTAATCGTCTGAAGAACTGCTAGACTGTTTCCTAAAGCAACGGCACTGTTTTATATTCCCACCAACACAGCATAAGAGTTCTGATTTCTCTGTATCCTCTTAATGTTTGGCGTTTTTGATTCTAGCCATCCAAATGTATGTGAAATGGCATCTCCCTGTGGTTTTGATTAGCATACTTACCTGATGACATTGAGCACGTTTTCACACACCTATCGGCCAATATGTCTTTGAAGAAATGTCTAGTCAGATCCCTTGCCCATTTTGTTTCTTTTCTCCAATCTACCTCCCGCACTGGGAATTGAATCCACAGGCTCTTTACTACTGAGTTATATCTCCAGCCTTCTCATTTATTTTGTGTCATGGTCTCGATAAATTGTCCAGGCCGACCTTGAACTCCTGCCTCAGTCTCAATTCCTGTGATTACAGGCAAGCGCTGCCATACTTAGCTCCTTGCTTATTTTTTCATTGGATTCTTTGTATTTCTGTTGTCAGATTGTAAGAATTCTTATATGTTCTAGATATAAGCCTTTTATCAGATATGATTTCCAATTATTTATTCCCACATGTTGCCTTTTAACTTTTTATTGTAAAATATGACATAAAAATTTACAATTTTAGCAATTGTAAGTATGCAGTTTGTGGCATTATGTCCATTCACTGTTGTCCAAACACCCACTATCTGTCTTGGAAACTTTTCATCAACGAGACAAAACATTTTTTTTTTCTTGTACCAAGGATTGAACCCAGAGACACTTAACCACTGAGCTACATCCCCAACCCTTGAATTTTTTGAGAGGGGGGCTCTCTAAATGGCTTAGGGCCTTGATAGGTTGCTGAGGCTGCTTTGAACTTGCAATCTCTTGCCTCAGCCGCCTGAGCTGCTGGGGTTATAGGTGGGCGCCAACATGCCCAGCTAGACTAAGTAATACTACGTGTGTATATTTGTAACACATTTTGTTATCTATTTATCACTACAAGGATTGTTCAGCTATTATGAATAATGCTATAAACATTTGTATACAAATATCTGTTATGGTGTCTGCTCTCAGGTTTGTTGCCATGCTAGGGATCAAACCCAGATCCTCACAAGTGCTAGGCCAGTGCTCTTACCACTGACCTACATTCCCAGCCCTCTGATTTCAGTTCTTTTGGATCTATTCCTAGAAACGAAACTGATAGATTAATTTTTTAAAGAATTCTTTAGAAAGGAGTATACATTTTTTAAAAATTAAAGTGGAAGTATCATTTTACTTTCTTATCAGCAATGCCCTAGGACTCCAATCGCTCCACTTTGTAGCCAGCACTTGCTATTTTCTTTTTGCTTTTTAAAATAATCACCTGAAGGCTGTGAAGTAGTATCTCATTGGGGTTTTGATTTGTGTTTCCCTGATGACTAATACTAAGTATTTTTCATGTGCTTACTGGCCATTTGTATCTTTCTTAGAGAAATATCTATTCAGCTTCTTTTTCTATTTTAAAGTCCATTTGTTGAGTTTTAGGAATTCTTTATATATTTTTTAATATTAATCCCTTATGAGATGATTGGCACATATTTTCTCCCATTCTGTGGGGTGCTTATTCACTCTACAATTCTTTGCACAAAAATTTTCAATTTTGTTCAAGTTCAATTTACCTATTTCCGTTTGTTACTATGTTTTTTGGAGTCGTGCAAGAAATCATTGCCAAATCCAATGTGAGATTTTTACCTATGTTTTCTTGGAGTTTTACAATTTTGGCTTTTATGTTTGTTTCTAATCCATTTTGATTGATTTTTTGTGTATGGTATGAGGTAAAGATCAACTTCATTCCCTTGCCTGTAGATATCTAATTGTCCC